GAAAGATACACTCGCGCGCGCATAGAACGTAAAAAAGGCAGAGAACAAGAACGGTATTTGGCCGAAGGTAACGCAAGAAGAACCTACGAGCAGAGGGTATCCTTTGCCCCCACACGCTTCTCGGTAGAAACTCCTAGACTCCGTGCTTGCGGTCCGCTGCTGTTAGTCCGAATTTCGTCGTTTAGTTCCCTGTATCGCATTAGGTAGGAGTCCCGTCGTGGTGAGGATAGGGAGGATGTAGAATGGAGAAGAGGAGAGTAACGATGTTGGAGATCGAGGGGATGGAGAAAGGCGAAAGCTCGCAGGGTTGCAGGGTGGTAGCGGCGATGGTAATGACGGCGGCGAGCGATGGCGAGGAGAGGGTTGAAGGGATGGAACAAGGGTGTGTGTGTGTGCGTGTGTGTGTGTGTGTGCGCGCGCGCGCGCGCGTGTGTGTGTGTGTGTGTGTGACGAGGGCGCACCACAAGCACGAAAGTTGGGAAAAAGCCAAGGAAGGGGTTGTGCTTGATGCGGGAGCCAGTCGGAGGGCGCAAGCTCCGAGTCTTCCTGTGCCCTCCCACTTGGTCGCGCGATAGGTGGAGCTTTCCTACCCGCCAATACATGTCCCGGGGAACGCGTACTCGCTCCCGAACGGCGCGAGTTCGCGAGTAGTGCCGAGCCGCCGCCACCGCCACTGTCAGTCCTTCCACATCCACACGAAAACGCGCGTCCCACGGTGGTGGCACCGTGGTGTGTGGTGGCCTCTCGGCGCCGGCTCCGCTGCTGCTGCTACCGTGCCGTGCGTAGCCTGATCAGGTCAGGAGGGTTGTTAGGGTCCCCGATGAGAGGATAACGCGCGCGCGATAAGGTCGCGGAGCACCACCCGCGAACGTGAGCGCGACTGCGGTGACATAATTGCCGATGAAGGGTGGCCAGGAGTCCATCGACGGGATATATGTAGGGATGCATGATCGAGAGGGTTGGGTCGGCAGGTGAAAATTAGCGCGGATTCACGTCGCGCGTCGATGGTGTGCTATGTGCGCGGAGAGAAATGTCGGTGAACGTAAGAATAGTTCTGCTAATGTGGACCGATGTGCAGGGGAAGGTCGGTTACGTAGCAGCGCGAAGAGAGTGAATCTCTGTTATTTCGGGTCTGATAAAAGCGCGTTGTGTATCGCATTGACGGCGTATGGGAATAATCTAGTAATTATTGCGTGTCAAAGAATATTCTGATGATGGCGGAAACTTCATATCATATTATAGCATTCATGAAAAAAATTTGATCAAAATAAACTTTCTCCAATTTCTTCTAAAACGAAGAAAATGTCTCGATTACGATCGAGGAGTGATCGCGTGATGGTATTTCAAATGGTACAACACAGTATGTATTAATTTTTCATTTATATTGGCATGTCTAAAATTACGCGAACTTTAATTATTTTTTGTAAAAGTTTGACTTACGATTATGTATCTGTCATTGTAATAAATAAATTTGCAACTGAATTTGTTTCTTCTTTAATTTGCTCTTTATTGGCGGTGCACGTACGTTATGTCACAAACATAATCAGTTATATTTTTTTAATTGTATATGAGACAAGTTAATGTCATATAGAGAATTTATTATCAAACAAGTTAATTTCTTAGCTCTTTTCTATTTTACGCTGCATCAAACAAGTTAATTTCTTAGCTGTTTTCTATTTTACGATTGTTACATGATAATTTAGCATACTTTCATAAAATTATTTTATTATTGTAGAAAAGAATTCTTTAAAGATCGATAAAGATGCAAAATTCTTCATAAACTGGTGTGTATCATTGCATAATGAAACGATGTAAACGTCATTATATGTTGAGGCACCCAAATTAATCAGTGTGTACAGAGCTTCTCGAGCTTCCAATAACTAAGCTGCTCGAACACATTATGGAATTATACATGTAGGAACAAGATTTTATGAATTTATGGATTTGCTGAATTTACGGATTTATCGATTGCGCGACATTTCATTATTGCGCTGATAAGAAATTCGTGAAAATGAAATGACATCGTAATAATAAATTATACATATATTGAGCCGTCAATGAGTGAATTCGTGAGAAATACAAGTTTTATAATGTCAAGGAAAATTATACTTATATAATTTAAAAAACGCATTATTACACACTAGTGTAATTTCTTAATTACTAGGTACAGTAATTTTTAGAGATTTTAAAGAGGCAATATATGTACGTCAGTAACGCTTAAAATTATTTTTGATAATAAATAAAAAATAAAAAGGTATAAGAAGATAAAATGTAAACGGAATACGAACAAAAATTACTAAACAGAAAAAATTTGAAATAATGATGACAAATTGGTGCATATAAAATATATGATGTTTTGCATCAAAAAGGAAACAAATGATTAACGTGAAAAATTTATGTGAGAAGGCTTGTGATACTTGAGGACATAAATTAAAACTTTTTTATCACGGTGTAAAATTATATATATAACAACAAAGGAGTAAACAATCATGAACAGTTTTAATTAATGTGAACGACGTTACTGGAAACGAGCCAAAATTTGTCACTGAATTGGTTCTATCTGTGTTATATTAAAGCAAAAGACTTACTATATTTGTAAGTGTGATTTATTCGTGCAATGTAGTATTTCTGTAACACTTTTATTTATAATCGTTCGAAATTAACTTCTTTTTTCAAGAAATACATCGCGATAGATGGAAATTACCTCCGAGTGAAGCGCTGCTAAAATGTCGGGTGTGTCCATACTGCGTGTGTTATCAAGCGATAAAAAGAGATTATGCTCATAAAAACACACACATAACTTGAAATATTTTTAAACAATTATTATGATGTATGTTTACGGTAAACCGAAAATCTAAACAACGACGAAATTTGGAATAAAGTTTCGGTATTAGTATCCAGTGGCATAAAGATAAAAAATATTATTTGCAAAGGAAAGAGAAAAAATGTATAATTTATAATATATCTTCAAAATTCGGTCTCTTACTTTCGTGCACCTGTTTTTTATACCGAGTTTTAAAATGCGAGTTAGATTTTTATTCACAAAATCGCGCGAATCTTATTTTACTTCACATTTTTGAAATGTTTGAACGTCGTACAACACATTATCCCGTTAAAAAAATCTTTCTTCACTGAAAAATTTTAGTTCTGAACTTGTATAATTGATTGAAACGTCCTTAAACCGTTTTTATTAATTACAGTTTGTTTTCGTTCTATCGAAGTTCAATAAACTGCATGTCGCGGAACGATACCGAAGACGACGCGTGAATAAATTGCTCTTTGACGACATCAATGACATTTTAATCATTGCCTTGCGTTACACTTAACTCTCTCTTCTACAATTTTGGTGTATAACGTATACCGTGTCAGGCAAGTAAATTTAGGTAATGAGACTTTCCAAACATGTTAGCATGAGCTCTTGTTTGCCAGATGCGCTAACACATAAATTCCTGTTTGCCGCAGCGTATAGTACCTAGCTAGGAAATATACTTCAGCGGATGCTTGCGAAGTACTTCGAAATACCTTATGAATGTAGACCGATTTCTCCCGTGTACATACGATTTGTGAATAACAGTAATATTATTCTGTATACACGTACAGCATGTAAGGCTTTAATAGGACTTATCGAAAAAATAAATTTTAATAAAGTTATATTTTTGAAAACTAATAATATTGGTCAACAAGATTTCGATAATACTATAATAAAACCTACAATTTGTGCTTCGTTGTTTTTCATTAAAAAGTTTCTTTGTATATTATCTGATATTCGAAATAACAAAATAATTCGTAACAGGCGTCATTTTTGTATAGAAAAACGTGTTTCAACTTTTTGAATATCAAATATGATGTATAAAAAGACTTTTTTTGAAAATCTAAATATGACGAGTTTTTTTCGTAGATATTGTATAAATATATCAAATAAATTTTGTTATATGTATAGCTGTTGTATCATGAAAGTAAACCGCTTACAAAAACTTTAAAGAAAGCTTATATCTTATATTTTAAGTGTCAAATTGGAAATCAGAATAAAAGTTAGATTTCTCATGTGCGCTATATACGTTGTTACATATCTCTTGTCATATCGTTGAAAGGAAAGGAGCGAAAACTTTAAATCCATCTCGCGAGTAAAAGTGATTGAAAGTTCATTTATTTAATTATAAAAAAATAGTCTTTTTATGTTGTCTTAAAGATGCTTATTAGCATCAGTAATATTAAATTGCGTGACATTTTTTATTTGCAATATTACACGCATTCCAGTTTCAGTTTAAGACTATGTTTTAAGATCAACAAATCGGCAAACAATTTGTTTGAACTAAAAATTATAAAAATTCATGTTGAAATATTATTAAGTGCCAAGACTCGCCTTGGCTAAATATGTGAATCTCTTTACTTATTTATGTTGACAAATTTTTTATTTGTCGACCAATGTAATTTCAAATATTTCCTATCTTTCAATTAGTTTTAGATTTTTTTTTGTGGCTACACTCTACACTGCGAAATAATTAGCATGCCAAGAGAATAATAATAATAATCAGTCAGGAGAAATAATATGACCTTTAAAATGTAAATATTCTATATAGTACATATCTCCAAGGAATGTTCCTATAAATGTCCAAAGACATTCTACTGAGGATGTTCCCAGAACGTTCCCAGGATATTCCCTCTGATAAAGTGTACTGTATGCCATGGAAAGAAAATTGATTTGCAGCAATTAATAAACTAGAATCGAGACAGAGCCTGCGTATATTGGCAAACGTCAAACTTAATATAAGTAACAAAATAAATACGAATTCTTAAGTTACATAGTAACTAAGTTTTAAAGATACATCGGTCGTTACGTATAAAGAAATTCTCCGTGTCGTAAAATACTCTCGTACAGCTTTTGTATTCTAGAAATATGATCTTTAGGTAACAACGGATCTTACACGGGTTGCGAACCGCGTGATCACACGAGAAAGGTGTGCTGCCATCGAATTTTCTCTTCAGTCGGCTTTCAGCCGGTAGATCGTTACCATCGATTCCGTCGTCGATCGCTCCTCGTGCGTATTTGAACTATTGAACAGTCGCTCGTCGACTCCACATCACTTGACGCGCATCAAGAGCTGCAAATATCTCGTCGACGTATCAGTATCTTTTTATTCCAAATATTCTTCTCGTGTCGTCTAAGATTATAAATCCAAATAAAAACATTTATCTCAATGTTACATTCTTATTTAGATCGATTCTGTCATTATCAAGTCTTTTTCATTGCCGACCCATGATTTTTCTTCCGACGTTTAAATACATCGCGTTAAAGTCTTTTAATTCACAAATCGAGATTTCTTTCAAGTCGCATTGCACGCATAATTATCGAGAATAACTTAAAATTTAAATTAGCCAACGTATCGTAGTTCTTGTTACATACAAATTAAAGATCATTGTGGTGACTGACGGGATTTGTCCGTGGAGAAGATCAACGCGAGGCTCATTCGAGGTGTTCTTTTCGAATTGCAGATCGAATATAAGTGCGCGCGTGTGGTTCGTGTGTGTGTACATGTGCCATCATCACCGCCGTCCGCAGCAGTAACGGAAAAGAAGAGAGCTCGACCCGCAGTAGCTGGAACCACCGAAAAATGGACGCGACGCCACAGCGAGTTATTTCCGGTTTGCTTTTGTTCTCTCTCGCCACATTACACCTCGGTAAGTCCCTTCGATTATTATAACGGTCAACGAGCAGAATGCCATTGTCGAACGTATGACGGAGTATACAACATCATGCCAGTCCAGAGAAATCAAAGATTTGTTTTTTACTGTATATTAGGCTGCGCTCAGAAGCTTCACCGAGTTCATCCAAGTATCATTTTATCCTTGTTCACCGAACATTAAACAAAATGATATATGCACTGAGGAAAAAATTGTTTATTTGACTATATTGATTTAGTTAGTCCTTATTTTTTTCAATGAATAATATATACGTATACATGTATTCTTCATCGAAAGAAATTAAGACAAACTAAATTAATTTAGTCAAATAAACAATTTTTTTCTCAGCGTAGATACACTCGATATATGATAAAATTTTTTAAAGCAGTCTGGATTAGGTACATCGAAACTTTTCTTCTTGTTTTCGTCAAATTTCAAATGTATATCTTCAATTCAGAGCGCAATTTAAATGACTACATATATAGTAGCATATAAATTCACATTGAATTGTTTAAGTATCTAAGATCCAGCTTGACCGTTAAAGGCGTTTATTTCTTATTAGTTGTATCTAATTCACTTCAAACACAAAGAGTGTACATTAATTTAACTATAAAAAAACAGACCTTAACTTAGATCAAAGAAAAAAATGGCGCATATAATGTAATTCTTGCTTGCTTTCTGGAAGTGTTTCAGGTATCGATTTTCTAACATAAAATATGGTTTTGAAAGAATTTAATTAGAAAAATTGTTTATATGAATTTCTGTAATTTTTTTCTGGTATTGTTGAGAACACAGGACCTCAGACAAAATATATTTTTAATTACATTTTCTCAAAATATTTTTTTTTAATTTTATTTTCTTACTTGATCATTATAATTATGGGATGTATATATAAAATCATGTACTATAACAGTTTATCGTATTTTATTTGTACTTTTGATATTAATCTGAATTTTTTATTTAATTCATGTATCCAGCATAGTTTAGCATTACAGCGTCATAATACTGTAACATTTAGATGGAAATATATACATTATATGAATACGCAAACAGCTATTTTTCCGCATATCGTAAGAGTTAATATATTTATTCAGTTCATAATAGACTGGCATTATGGCGTGTACTCCAAAAGAGTTGTGCAGTCATACATATAATAATTTAAAATGGATTCACGTGCGGTGCATATATCGCGCTGTAGAAGCAATGCAAGTTACCTACAATTATTATTATTATGCCGCCCCCATTATTTTGCGGTAACATTCGTATTTCAAGTCTTGTTATTACAAAGCGGTTTAAATTACGTTGCCTTCCGTTCGTGGCACAAGCGGACGCGGGAAAATTTCCTTGTGGAATACTCGCGCTGGCCTCTCGATCTTCCAAGAAAAAAATACGTGACAATTTCGTAAATTTTGTCAAATTCCTCTGTGTAATCCACGTTAACTCTCTCTGCACAGATTACCTCACAATCGTTATCTGATCAAGCTATTGATAATATATTGTATAAACAGAAATAGTATAAAGACTTAAGATTACATAGGTACCATGAAACGTGAACAAATTGCTGTAAAAATTATCTAGGTAGTAAGTCGATATTTGTCACTATTTTAATGATATTAGACGTCATTTTGACAAATAATAGGGAGTTTTTGCAATAACGTGGGTCCAGATGCAGTGAACGTTAAAATCACGTTATTCTTTTCTCAATTAGTTATTAAGACGAAGATAACCTGACCTTAGCGTTCACCGTATTTGGATAAACGGTATTGCAAAAACTCCCTCTATTTTGACGACAAACGATGTCAGCTTGTTACTTGAGTATTGTCATATTGCCCTTCTTTCTAAGGTCAAACGATTCAATATCAATGTTACATTTATATACACGTATACGTATACACGAACGTTAAACGTACATCCGACGAGATACAATCTGAGAGAAGCAAGGACTCAAAATTTAATATAACCATAGGCAATTTACAACCTTGATTTACCTTCTACTGTTACCTCGAGAAGGACGATATGCATTAAATTCTCTTTCGATGTACTTATTCTGTCGGTTTCAAAAAACGCAAGATATTCTTTAAGATTTCCTACATTTTCTGTATTTATTTTTGTAACATTATTATTGAAATTTTACATACGATTTAAAATAAAGAAGTTGATACTTAGATCTATAAATGTCTATATATCAGACTGTTTCATATTTAAAAACGTAAGGCGTGAAGGCGTTTGGCATCTCCGAAAATATCGTAGATCAGAAGAACATTTGTATTACGTTATGAAAAGGAAAGAAAAATGATAATCCTGTGATATCAGATAAGGTCAACGGCCTTATTTCACGCGGCATTTGATCGCAGTAGGAGTAGGTCATTGTTAATCGATAAAAACAATATCGCGATGTCGTGCGAACATTCGTTGCGACTGCGGTAGTAATATGAAAACTTTTAGCGATTTAGAAGGTAATTGCAAAGAGAAAAACGGGGACGCAGTCGCATCTTGGCGATACAACGCGCGAACAGGCGACGGCAAATGCGTCGTCGTAATTGCATAATGGCTACAGTGTGTTCACGCCAAGATACCCGAAGCCCTGGCCTGGTTTTTGCTAGAGGACTTTCACTCGGCATCACTATCTTTCTCTTTCTCCACCTGTCTCTTTCTACCAATGCTGGGTCGCTTTCCGTCTCGTCGCTCGTTTCCTCTCAAACGTCGGTCTCATCGACCGAACTCGCTTTCAAACCAGTTCGCCATCGTCGGTAAATCGAAGGGCTCTGCCAAAATCGTCGGATAATCCATTTCAGCGATTTTACACTGAACACAAAAGCGCGAATAAATCAGCGTTATCATACTATTCCCCCCCGGGAATTCGATTTGTCTTACCTTACTTTGCTTAATACAAAGTAATACCGAGTTATCCATCTCGCGTTTAATAAAAAATAAATTATTATGTATTCAATCTTTTTAGCATTTAAATTTTTTAACCATGTTTGTAGCCAAGAATTATAACGAGCAAAGAGTATCAAAGTGAAACGTGGAATAAGATTTTATATAATCCTATGCTTTTTGATTCTTTAATCTTTATGCAGACACGCTATTTATAACACATATGCACACATACACACAATAACGATATACTTTTTATATACATCTGACATCAATTCTTGATAATAAATGTAATTTTTAAAAAAGTACATGTTATATTTTTTGGACAGACAATTTCACAATACATCATATATACCCAAAGAAAACAATAGGTCACGACAACATCATTTTGATGTCAAAATTGTAACTGATCGAAAAATAACTTTTAATAATTATTTTGATGTCATGACTTTATGTTTTGCTTGGATTTTTTTTTATTAATTTCGTGTAATTCCAAATTTGATAATTAAGATTTTCCTATAATTTATTGTGTTATCATAAACGTTGTATGCAAATTTGTAAATATCATACCATATAATATTGCAGAAATTATAGCTACTTTTTTGTTAGATGTCTAACTATAAACGGATGATATATCTTTAATTAATTAATTGGTATGTAAATATTGCAACTTTTCTTATACTAAATCTAAATTACAAGAATTAGAAGAAATTGAATTGAGAATGCTTCTTTACGAATTACTTTCTAATCAAGTTCTTTTCCTCCTGTATCTCATTTTATCTTTATTTATGGAGTGTTCACTTAATAAACGTACGTTTATGTCGAAATCTTTTTGTAATTAAACTCATTTTATTTTTAAAACAATTTTTTCCCGTATATTTGAACGTTTTTCAGAGAAAGTACATTTTGCGTATTATTTTTATAGAATATTATTATTTTTATACAGAACTGCGGGAATTTTTTTGCGCATGTGAAAAAAACATTGTTTCGTAGTTAACATTGAATAACTGTAAATTACTTTAATTGTAAATTTTATAATCTAGCAATAAAAATTCATAATTTTAAAACTTATTGTAAGTTAGTCTCTCTCAGTTTGCAAGATTCTTCGTTTCTTCAATAGTTAACAACTGAAAAACTATCGATCTCTATTATCGTTTATACATATGTATACAGGGTGTCTCAGAAAATGTGACCGAAACACAGTGGGGACATAGATTGGATCAAGGGGAACAAAACAGTTTTGTACCATTTTGCAGTTAACGCAATATTTAACGAGATATTAACGTTTAAAGATAGGCGAATACGAGCGTCCGACCAGCCTACTGATCATGTACTGCTGCCGGCAGGACGGCCTACCGGGTAGGTTTTAAACGTTAATATCTCGTTAAATATTGCGTCAACTGCAAAATGGTACAAAACTGTTTTGTTCCCCTTGATCCAATCTATGTCCCCACTGTGTTTCGGTCACATTTTCTGAGACACCCTGTATATTAAGAATATATATTTGGTATATAAACTCTGCAAAAAGTGACTGGAATTGAAAATTCATACATTTCATATAAAAATGAATGTTATATACAAACGAAAGTTCAATAAGAGAGATAAATATTTATATTTAACAATACAATTTTGTAGTTTAAATAAAAAATTTCTTAGTCCACTTTATTTATTTAAAAAAAATATGTATCTACTTTTTATTGGTATAATTTTTATCCAGATTCTAAATCACCGTTAAACTTTTTGTATTACTTTCACACAAATACAACATAGAAAAATCTGTAATTTTTTTCATTTTGTTAAAAGATATGTGTAATACATTCTCAAAGAGAATGTTCTACAGCACTCGTAGGGAACTGATCGAGAGGCCAAGAATACTCTATGATAAAAATTCTCGCTGACGATCAGCGGCTCCCACTTCAGAGCACTACGGCAAATTCCAAACGATCGAATTGATGTACACAACGAACACCGACGCACAAGTATCAGCGAGATGAGCGCATGTAGCCTCCAATAAACCCCGGTCAGAACCGAGTTCGATCGCTCTCGAACAAATCTCGAATCGGACAATACCCGACCTCCGTTGGCGCGGTCCGTCCGTTCTCGTTCAGGATAACCCGCGA